CCTCTGTGCACGGTGCTGCCGCGGGTGGCAAAGCCAAAGCCACAGCAATACAGCCCTGCAGCCCTCCTGCACCGCGCCGAGTCGCGAGGCAGGGCTGAGCGTCCCTTCGTCCATCTGCACGGGCATGAAGGTGCTGCCCAGAAAGGCCCAGCGAGCCGGGTGTGAGACCACGGCGGGTGAACAGCCCCTTCTTTAGCCTCATTTTTCCCAGACCTTTGTTTTTCAAGTGTTTGCTAAAAGCAGTCACCGGTGACAGCCCAGCAGCACCGGTTTGGGCACAGATGTGCTTGGGAGGGAGAGGTGACAGGGGACAAGTGCCAGCGGCAGAGCCCTGCCCTTACCTTAGGCTCCACGATCTTCCACCCATTGGCCTTGAGCTGCTGGAGCTCCGCGAACTTCATGCTGACGTCCTCGATGGAGAGCTGCAGGAGGTCCCAAAAGCCGGCCAGGTCTTGGAAGGTGGGCACAGGGAACGCGTTGGGATCCTGCAGGGACAGAGTGTTGGCCACGTCCACCCATGGGACATCGGCTCTGCTGGCCACGCAGTCATCCCACCCCCACGCTGCTGGAGGGGGCTCTCTGTCCAGCTGTCTCCAAGGGCGTTACAAAGTCCCTTTTCCACCGGCTAAGGGTACGAGACCCCCCACCTGCCATGGCTGACCCCGTGGCACCGCTGCCCGGCACTCACCATGTTCTGCTGGCAGAGGCGGTAAAACTGCTGCACCTTCTGGGACATGAGGAGCTGGGCGCTGCCCACGGCGCTCCGGATCTTCTCCAGGACTGGTGGGGGGAGAGCAGACAGTCAGCTCTCCCGTGGGGCACGGAGCCTCTCCCCTGCATGGCAGGGACCTGCACCCCCTCGGGGGCAGCAGGACAGCCCGGCCAGCTCGGACTCCCCCAGCCCATGCAGGGTCTCCTCCCTCCTCCAGACCCCACTAGTCCCAGAGGGTTTCCTGCTGTTTCTTGCCCCCACCCAATCTCTTGAGCCTTGTCAGGGGAGGTGCTCCAAGGTGGTCCCAAGGTGGGAGCGCTGCAGGACTGTGGCTGTGCCCCCCAGCCCTACGGGAGCCCCAGTCCCTCCCAACCCCAGAAACCCCTCCAACTCACTCTCCTCCGGCAGGTCATAGTCCTCAGCCTCCCTCTCCATCTGCTGGCACCAGCCCTCCATCTTCTCCACCTCCGCCTGCAGCAGTTTGATGAACCATTCCCCGTCGCGGTGGCAGGGGGAGGCACGGCCGGAGTCGGGGAGGCTGCGGGAGCCCCGCTCCATCCAGGCATCCCGCCGGGGCACCTCCACCGTGTCGTACTGCAGCTGGTAGTCCTCCCGGTACGCCCATTGCCCCTGCGTGTGCACCGTCTTGTACACCGCGTACTGCCGGCCGGACTCCGGCTCTGAGGAGTGCCGCTGGAAGGGGCGCCCGAACTGCAGGGCTTTGTCCTCGGTGGCCACGGCCAGGCCGGCGAAGCCCTCCAGCTCCAGGTCTGCCTGCACGCCTGCCGTCACGCTGTTGGAGCGCTTGAAGCGTGCTCGCCTGTAGAGGACAAGAGAGCGTGGGGACCCTCATGGGCAGCGAGGACAGCCCCGTTGCCCTGTCCCCTCGCTGGGTACCATGGCGGGCAGGAGCAGGGTGAGGGATGCCCGCAGGCAGGATGGGGATGCCAGCCTGGATCCTGGAGCGTTTGGGGCCGCGGGGACAGCCCTGAGCAGCTGCAACCTGCTGGTCCATCATCTCCTCTGCTCTTAGCCCGTTTCCATGGCTACCGGCACTGGACCAAGGATGGAGAGGAGCGTGCACCGGGGCTGCGTGGGCACGTTGCCGGAGCTCCCCTCCCGTGGGCCATGCAGGTCCCAGCACACAGCACTCCCACCCAGCCAAAATGTCATGTTTAGCTGCAGAAAAGCCCAGAGGTTTTATCTGGGCCTGGGCCAGGCTCAAAGCCAAGCCCCAGCAGGGGAGACCTGAGCACGTGGTGGGAGCAGGGGAGCCCCTTCCCCGGGCAGCCCGTTTGCAGCAGCGAGGTGCAAAGGGAAGGCTAGATCCTGCCCCAGGGCGGGGGCACTTGGCCTGGGATGAGGATGGTGCTGAGCTCTGGGTGCCTCAGCCAGAGGAGAGAGGGAAAAGATGCTGCGGGGCAGCTCAGGGAGCCCCAGGGGGACCCAATCCCCCTGCGCAGCGAGTGTGGCAGGTCTCAGCCCAGCCCGGCCGCACAGTACCTTTTGTCCTCTTCCACCTGCACCCCGATGGAGTGGAACTCCCTCTGGCTCCGGCTCTCCGTGTCCGAGTCAGAGATGGCCTCGACCTGCCGAGGGGCAGAGGGAGAGCGCTGGAGGGTGGCCCTGAGATTGCGGCGTGGTGGCTCAGCATCGCCCACGCCACTCAGGCAGGCTCGAAGCCGACTCCAGACCACAGGGAGGAGCGAAGCCCACCTGGACGCCAATGGAGGGGCGCCACTTCCGCTGCCGAGCCAAGCTCCTCAGCTCCTCCCGGCCAGGGATGGCCTTGATGATGAGTGTGGAGGGCTTGGGAGCGGTGCGGGGCTGGACCGGAGGCAGGTCAAGGGCCACGGCCGTCACCTTGGAGCTCTCCAGGCTCTCGGCCGAGTTGCAGCGGGGCGAGTTGCAGCGGGTCTCGGCATCTTTGGACCAGGTGGGGCTGCGGGCAACCTCGCCAGGCAGGTAGCTCTCATGGGTGGACTCGGTGCTGCTCTGCGCCGTGACGGAGATGAGGGGTTTGGCTTTGGTTCCTGGAGGGATGGGAGGTGGAGCTTTTCTGTAACTGAAGGCTGTTGTGGGAGAGGCGCAGGATGAAAAGGCACGTGAAAACACAGACACTTGCTCATTTCCCGCCACGAACAGGGGCCCCAGGGGAACAGTGCCCACCTCCTCCCGCAGCCTGGGGCTCACGGCCATGCAGGGTTTGCACCTCAGCTGGCTGAGATCAGGGCTGGAGCTCGGAGGGGCTGTTCGGCCAGTTTATCCCCAGAAAGGGATCGGAAACCACCCCAGACCCATGCTGCCGGCCACGCCACTGCAGCACCCAGCAATGGGCAGAGTTGGGGACAGAAGTGGAGGGAAGGAGGGAACGACAGATGGGTGCTGGGGGCACAGAGCAGTCCCCTGACCGGGACTGAGTCACGAGCAGGATGCTCGTGCCCTGTGCCGGGGCCGAG